CTGTTGTGGGTTTGAACTACCAGGCTCCATTCTTGTACAGGTTGTTAGGGGCCATCAAGTCAGTTCTTTCTCATAGTGACCCAATCGGATAGCATAGACTTTTTGTACTGTACTAAGTCTTGCATAGTCACTATAGAATCAATTTAGTATCATCAATCCACATTGATTTTTAAGCCTGCTTATTTATATCTTATTTCTTACTCAGATTCTTGTTCACAGACTATTATAATATACACTACCTTAATGTTTATTATTTTATCCTATGCCAAGCATACCATCTGTTTTATCCTTACAACAGCTTATAAAGTCAATGGTACAGATCTATCATCTCTTATTAATTAATAATCCAGAAAGCCTTGAACACCAAAGCTTTTTACAAATCTGACATGATCTGAATTTACTTAATGATGAAACCTGATTCACGCTGACATGATGCTAATTTGTGTTGTTGTGTAATTGGGTTCCCACTCACGGGGACCCTATGTCTAACAGAACAAGACACTCCTCATTCCTGTGCCATCCTCACAGTCATTGCTATGTTTCAACCCATTGTTGCCACTAAATTTATTTCATCCACTAATTACTTAGTCTTTGTATATTTCACTTTGTTTTACTCAGTGCTGCTGTAACACATACCACACGAGGACAGCATTAAAGATCAGAATTTTATTTAAATTTGTTTTAAAGTTTAACTTTCAGTCCGGAGGCTGAAAGTCCAAACCAGGGCCTCAGGAAGCCTGTGGACTCCTTCTTTGTAGGTCCTCCCTGGCCTTGCTTCCTTGGTTTATGAATGACCCTCGCATGGTGTCTTTGTGCCCCCGGCTCCACCAGTGTCCTTCAGTCTATCCTTTCTAGAACTCAGCAGTGGTTAGGATATACTATATCGATGTGGTCTCATTCACATACAAAGAAACCCTACTTTCAAACAAGATTACATCCATAGGTATAAAGGGTTAGGATAACAACATATGTTTTGATAAAAAGGAACACGACAAAGATGGTGTCAGTTGATGCAAAGTCGAAAGGAACTTAAGTCTAGCACTGGGAATAAGACAAGGTTTTTTATTCCCCCAAAGAGTTACAGTCTCAGAAACTCATGGGGCAGTTTTCCCTGTTCTGTGGGATCACCGTGTGTCAGATTTTATTATATGACAGTGGGTGTGTTTCTTTGGGATTTTTTGAGCACTGGGAGAACTGTGTAACAATGTGGGAAACAATATTATTTTAAAGAAACACAGCCCTGCCTATAACACACTTAGTGAGTGAGACATCCGTATGTTTTGTTGCAAAACATCCATATGTTTTGTTGTAGAAATATTGCTATGTTTTACTATTAGATGCTGCCATTTACTCTTTGTACTTTGGGACATTAATATATGATATATGCCTTTATCCTAAAATATGGAAAAGTCTGAAACACATCTTGTATCAAGGGCTTTGGATATATAATTGCCAACTTGAATTATTCCCATTTTACATATGAAAAAACTCAAACATGAAATAATTTTCCAGATCTTTGAACCTAGGACTATTTGCCTCCAAGTCAAATCCCAAGAGTAGTCAACATAGAGATGGAATGTTAAAAACAAAATATGCCCCCTTGTGTCAGTGGTCTGCTTAATGGCGAAAACAATGTGATGTTAATAGACACAGTTATCAGTTCAAATTTTGATTACCTGAAATTAATAATACTTAACACACTTTTAAAGAAGTTTGAGTTTATATCCTGAAACTTGCCTTAAAGTCCCCTCAACCAGGAGACCAGTGGTGCTCCTAAGTAAACGTGAACTACTGAAATCCCTCCATAAGCATAGTTTTACAGGCATCAAGCCTTCGAAAAGTTTGTGTTCATTTAATAATGGAATTATGTGGGCTTAGAAATGGATTCTCAAGCAATCACCCATTTTCATGAAGTTGTTTCACTGAAAGGAACTGTTGTAGCCTACTGTCTGTTCCCAGAAAGAAAACAACCCAGTCCGCCGACAAGTTCAAAAGAAAATGTTTTATTACCTGCGCGGGGACTGTCAGCCCTTTTGAGAGGAGACTGAGCAGTGGCCTGTCTAATTTTCCAAAGGTTTTTATACTTTATCAATGTGCAGGTATGCAAGCAAGCAGAGTACAGAAGCAGGATATTGCTGTTAGCCATTCTTAGTTGAACAATAACTGCTCTTAGTTCTTCCAAGCCTTCTGAACATACATTTCCTTCCGTACAGTTCACTGCACTTGTCAGCACAGCCTGCCTCCCTGATATCAGCTAGTTTATTTATAGTTTAAAGTTCATAATGGCTTCTGTCAGCTCAAAATGGCTTCACTCTTGTCAGATCAGTTTAAGCTTTTCCTAGAGCTACTACAGAACTAATCAATGACAGCAATCTATTATTGTTCTTTCTAGGCATGATCACTGATCTTTTCATCGATAAGTTCAAGTTTAAAGGCACCAATGTGAAAACCAAAGTACCTCTGCTCCTGGAGATTCTGGACAGTTATGATCAAAATGCACTGATTGCTTTCTTTGATGCCGCATGAAAAATAATCAAGGTAAAATCCCAAAGAAGTGACTCTTTAAAAGGAAAAAATAAAAAACAATTATAAACTGACCATATGAGAGGGTTTCAACATTGATGGAAAAATTCCATTATCTTTTAATTTCATTTCCCACCAACTGTTTGAAGCCCCCTTGTATATACTTTTATTTCAAGTGCTTTTTAGTATCTTTTTTTTTTCAGATACAACTTTAAGTAACACTTCTATTTACATTGACAATGGAACTTTTTAATATTTAAAATAAAACTGGATGGCCATTTAGACTGAGACTACAGTAGATGACCCTGGATACAGTGGGAGAAAAACATTGGGAAGAATTTACATTCTTATTTAAAAGAAAGCAAGCAAATCAAACAAACTAGACTAGTAGTGAACAGAAGACGTCCTGAGATTACTGCCCTCAGACTCTTTAAACTTAGACGCAAACCTATCCTGAGGAAATCCCCCTTCAGCAAAATAGCAGAATGACACACAAGATAAGAGACATTCTTCTTAAGACTGTTGTTCTACTTAAATACCTTAAGTATGAGACCAAAAGGGCAATATTTATCCACAAACAAAGACGAAACTAATAGAGAAACCAGAATTACTAGAAAGGGAACAAATAGAGCACAAAGAGAATGTGGACACATGGTGATAAATATAACTAATGTTACTAAAAATGTGTGGGGGAAAATGTCCTATGAGAACCTCCTTTGTAACTTTCACTAAGAACTCAGCAAATTATTATTTAAAAAGAAAAAAACACGTGTAATAAATTTAATGGATTAAAAAAGATTTTAAATGGAGAAATATTTGGAAAATCAAAATATAATCATGCTTCACAAGCTAAATACACACATAATACCTATGAAGTGGCTCAAAAAGTTTGTGGAAGGTTAAAATCAAAATAGAGTGGAATTTTTCCATAAACTTAAAAAAAACATTTTTTGGGAATTAATACAGATAACATATTATTCCACAGTTCAGTCACATCAAGCAGTATTTACAATTGCTACCACAATCAGTTTCAAGACATGTTTTTCCTTCTTGAACTCCTTGACATCAGCTCCCTTTTACGATAGCCCCCCTCCCCACTATACTCCCCAGATACCCGTACTCTACTTGCTGTCCCTGTAGGTTCATCAATCCTGGTTTCATGTACTGAAAACATGTAACAAAATTCAAGAGGGTCACCCCCAGTTATAAAACACATCTGAGATAAACCCCAATATGAACAAACAAATAAACAAAAAAATACAGAAAATGTTGAAAACTAGATTAGGCCTAATGTACATCAGAGGAGGGATCAACTGACAAAGTTTTAACCATTCAAAGAGGTTTTATCTTGTTGATCTTCTATAGTCATCTCTCCAGTGCACTCTGTCTGGTGACCCGTTTCCTCCCATCCTCTATTGTGGATAGAGGGAACTCACTGGAGGCTTATTTCCTACGTAGATTCCACAGATGTATCTGGGGCATAGCCTTCTGCAAACCAGATTCTCACAATTTAGACTCTGATACTATTCCCTCCTTAGGCTTCAGATCACATGATTTACAATCCTTTGGTCACTGATGTTGGTGTGCTTCTTCCATATGGACTTAGTTGACATCTCACTTAGATGGCCACTTGTTTGAAAACAAGCCTTTTAAGACTCCAGATGCGATTTTATCTTATAGCGGGGTACCGTCTAATTTCTTCACCACACTTTGCTATTTGCACCTGCATCTTCTGTGTTCCACGAACTTTTTGAAATTCTCCCTTAGTATGTGTAAACAGCTTTATCATTTTCAAAATGTGTTTGCATACATTAATTACCTCATTTGATGTTTACAAGCAAAAACCCAACACACAAACTGTCATTGAGTCAATACTGACTCAGAGTGATCCTGTAGGACTGGGAAGATCTGCCCCCGTGGGTTTCTGAGACTTTAATTCTTATGGGAATAGAAAGCCTCCTCTTTCTCCCTCAGAGCAGCTGGTGGTTTTGAACTGCTAACCTTGTCCTGTAAATTTGTCAAAGCATATAAAAAAACAATTGTCAGTAAAGTTAAGTGACATGAGCTTAAAAAGACATGCAAGCAATGTAAAAAGCTGGGGCCAGAACCAGTATCTGACACCTGGTTTGTATCCCAGTTATTATTCACTTAGTCAATAGTGGAAATAATCTACCAATTATTATTATTATTTTGTAGGAGCAAAGACTGGTTTGTAATGATTTCTCTCGGACTGAGTAACATTTTGTGACCTGTGCTACAGCTTGTGAAATGCCTTAGTTGTCCCAGTGCTATGAATTGTGGTCAGGGAACTGGGCAGAGCCTACACAGATAGAAGGGATCCTACCTACACTAACTGTAAGCAGTCTGGCAATATGAGGTTCTGCAAGGAGGAGTGTGAAAATAGTGATGGCTTCTTAGATTTTCCTGTACTCATTAACTTCTTTTTAATATCAATTTATTAGTTCAGGGAAAGATTGTTGCTGAGTCTCAACTGACTCTGACAACGTGTTTTCGTTTGGGTTTATTGTATTTAACGGTTTGCTTTAAAATGACAAAAGTTATAATGGTTTTTTTTTTTAAAGCTGTTTTTTTGTAATGTTTTCAAGACAGACTCATGAATTTTTCAGAAATAAGGCTCCTGAATGATATGCTATTATATTTATTATATGAAAATATTGTTATATATATTCTTAGTGTATTTAAGCAGCCTTCACTCCTAAATGGAACATATCTATATATGTAGTCTATAGATCACTAGAATTTCATTGTGAGGAGTCCTGGTGGCCTAGTGGGTTTACCCCTTGGGCTGCAAATGATAAAAGTCAGCAGATCCCGTTGCAATCACCTGGATGGCAGGGAGTGAGAATTTCATGGCTTTTTTTGTTGTTGGAATATATATCTATATATAGATATACATATATCTACACAGGTGTGTGTATATATGCATTACTGTTATATGTATCAGTTCAAGATGGCACCTTAAAGTGTATTTTCATTGGAAACAAAAAGCGTAAGATAAATATCTTAAAGTGTATTTTCATTGGAAATAAAAAGCGTAAGATAATTATCTTAAAGTGTATTTTCATTGGAAACAAAAAGCATAAGATAAATATCTGCTTATTGTGAATAAACATCTACATAATGACATTATTGTCTGACAGTTGAGTATTATGTGAAGAGTGGTAAATGATTTATGCACAGTATTTCATTTTATTTTAAAGATAATCTTATGTGGTGCAGGTATTTTACTTTCAGTTAACATATAAGAAAACTAAGACTAATTTTAATAACGTGACAATGACGACCAGCCAGTAATTATAAAAGTCAACTTTTAAACCGCTGAGGGGTGTGAGGTAGTTGGCCAACTTAACCAGAATTTCCCTGGCCAAGCAAAAGGCTGGGGCAGCCCTGTAACAATTGCTGAAAGTGTGATTTAGTTCATTTAAAAATGCATAGCGACAGTCCATAGCTCGGAGCGCGGGGCCCGCCTAGTGGTTCCATTTAAAGCCACTAGAAATTCAGGCTTCACCTTCCACCGCCTCCCCGCGCAGGCGTTTGCCCGCCCGCCGCCTTTCTCGGCGCCGCCTTTCTCTCCTCCACCGTGTCTCCTTAACCTTCCCGGCTGCTTACGCACGCGTGCGACCGAGTCGCCGTGAGTGACGTCACAGCGCCCCGCGCTTCTCATTGGTCCATTTCAATAGTCGCGGGATACTTGAACTGCAAGAACAGCCGCTTCTCCGGCGGGCTGTTCGCTTTCTCCCGGGACTCCCAAGTCTCGGGTTCTGCACGCCCAGCAGGGCCGCCTGCACCTTTGCCAGCCTCCTCCGGCCCGCACAGCTTCTGCCGAGGGCGCGTCCTGGTGGGCAGGTGGCCTGGCTGCGTCCGGCAGCCCCGGCGAGAGCGTTCCTCGGCGGAGTTTGCGCGGCCAGCCGGCGGGCGGAGTGCACGCTGCTTGGCGCCGCAGGCTAGTCCCGCCGCCTGTCCCCGCCGGGAGCAGTGATGTTGGGCAACTCCGCGCCAGGGCCTGCGGCCCACGAGGCGGGCTCGGCGCTGCTTGCGCTCCAAGAGGACCAGGAGAACATCAACCCGGAGACAGCGGTGTCCTCCCAGCAGCCCCGGACTCGGGCCGCGCTGGCGGTTCTGAAGGCAGGCAACTCCCGGGGCCCAGCGCCGCAGCACAAGCCCAAGACACGACGGGTAAGAAAAGGCATGCTCGATATCTTTAGGAGCGGGGGCCAGGCAAGAGCCTGGTATTAAAAGAAAGGCATTTTAGGGGGAGGGGGAGCGGTCCAGGCCCTTCTGGCCTTAGGTTTTCCGGTTTGTGGGCTGCCATGGTGGTAGCTTCTCATTCCATTTAGTGTTACGGCTCCAGCTAGCATTGTGTGGGTACTGCCTGCCTACTCAATTGAGGGCATCCTTATAGATTCTGGCATCAAACTAGGCCGCACAACCTTTCTGCCGAGTTGCTCACTGCTTTAGGGGAAGTAACCAGGCCCCCCTCCCCCACCCCCATGTGAACAAGAGAATGCCTCTACTTTAGAAAACACTTTGGGTAAATTCGGCCATTTTAGCCGGATTTACACGGCTGTGCCACCCCTAGTTACCAGCTCCCTGCATGTGACAAATTTTTGCATCCTTTTTCACTTTGACTGCTCATACTGTTCTTGCCTGGGCTTTGGCCTTCCTTAATTTTTCTGGTAGACAGATGGGGGTTAAAAGCAAAGGATGAGATCCTTAAGGGTAAGAAGGCAGAGCTACCTTTAACAGGCTCAAAGACAGTTTATGTCTTCCTAGGTGGCGCCTCTTAAGGATATTCCTGTAAATGATGAGCCAGTCACTGTTCCTCCTTGGAAAGCAAACAGTAAACAGCCTGCATTCACCATTCACGTGGATGAAGCAGAAGAGAAGACACAAGAGAGACCAGCTGAATCTGAAAGTACAGAGCGTGAAAATGCCTTGGCGTTTAATTCAGCTATCAATCTACCTGCCCCACGAAAACCACTGGTATCTCTTGATTATCCAATGGATGGCAGTTTTGGTAAGTTTTAAAGAATCTGTATGAATCAAGGTAAATATGATTATTATATAGACTCAGTTTTGTATTTTAAGGGATTCGCTTACCTTAACATTACTACTTTTAAGGAGTTAGGTCTAATGTAACAGGCTTAGACTTAGCCCAAACCATGTGTGACCTAGAAAAAGATGCTGGTTGTAATCAGCTGTACCTTGTAGTACAGTACTAATCAAATCATCTTAACTAGATAGCAGTCATACATTTTAACCTGACCTTAGAAATATTTGCTTGGTTGGAAGATTTCAGTTGTGTCCTAAATCAGTGGTTCAATGTACCACTTGAGAGAATGTTATGTTTGAGTGCAGATTTAAACATTGTGATGTCTAACATCTCTTCCAGCATGTAAATTGTGTTTCTGTAACATCAGTCTGAGTAATCATCAAATACCAGAAAGTGACATTGTTTTCCTGCAATGCAGTGGGTTGTACTGTTGCTGTTGGTACTTACCAATTGGAGAAGATTGAATAGACAGCACCGCCTGTGTTTGTAATGTGTCTTTATAAGCTTATTGGGTACTGGATAACTCAGTACAATCTCATTTTAGCTAGAGTTCTTTTGGTTAGGGAAAAGAATAAGAATCCTTAGGAAATAGTTTGTGTTTTTATTTAAAATGTGTTAATATTTTATTTTAAAATGAAGAGAGTAATGGATGATATTCTTTCCCCCAGTTACAAACTTTGTTTTTTATTAATGCACTTGTTAAAGGAAAACCACTTGGGCCTGGGTCTAGTTGTTTTTTGACTATATCAGATTATGGTGCTGACCGTCTGTCTGTTTTGTAGCATACGACGTTGTGTCGTGAGGGTTTTTAATTGGATGGCACTGCTGCTCTGATGACAGTATTCTTAGAGGCATTCACTTTTAGCTATTATCTTTTGTATTCCTCCAGAATCACCACATATTATGGACATGTCCATTGTATTAGAAGATGAAAAACCAGTGAATGTTAATGAAGTGCCAGACTACCATGAAGACATTCATACTTACCTTAGGGAAATGGAGGTAAAAGTTGAGTCTAGTTTTATACTCTTATCTGTTAAATATGGTCAAAATGAAATTGAGATAACATAATGGCTAGTGAAAGGTTTATGTTTCTTTCAGCATATATAAGCATCTTTGCTAACTGTAACCTAATTGTAATTTTAACACTATACTAATTTTTCTTAAAAGGTTAAGTGTAAGCCTAAAGTGGGTTACATGAAGAAACAACCAGACATTACCAATAGTATGAGAGCTATCCTTGTGGACTGGTTAGTCGAAGTCGGAGAAGAATACAAACTACAGAATGAGACCTTGTACTTGGCTGTGAACTACATTGATAGGTTCCTTTCATCAATGTCTGTACTGAGAGGAAAACTTCAGCTTGTGGGCACTGCTGCTATGCTTTTAGCCTCGTAAGTCCAATTTACCTCTAGTTTTTAACCGTGTGGTATTCTAACATACTACACGGGGCAGACAACCAGTGACTAATTTTGTGGCAAGGAGAAGAGCGGAGGTGAATCTTCAAACCTTGATTTTTCCATGTTCCTATTTTTGGGTACCTTTTTTAACGTGGAGACTGGTAAACTTTTGTACACTAGTACTAGATTGTTGTGTGTTGTCAAATTAATTGAATCATAGTCACCTCCCTAATAGACTACTTTCTGGCATTTAAAACTAAAATCAAACCTGTTGTGATTGAATGGATTCTGACTCGAAGCAACCCTGTAGGACAGACTAGAACTGCTCTACAGGCATTAAGACTTGTAGCTTCCAAATTTGCAGCCACGTAAACACTGGCATTTTCTTCACAGTGGAAAATCTCATGCCCATTATTTCCATTTCCTATACTTCTCATGTCTCAGATTCATTAATCAGGAGACTTGAGCCTTATAATTAGTAATTGCCTGCCTCGGTCTCTGTCATAAAATGATGGGCATGTGTCAGTGGAGACAGACCGGGTATAGCATGTAGGCTTCAGATGTATTCCATATGCTTTGCAGTTTAGCAAGTTAGCATGCTTGTCCTCTCTGAGAACTGGTTACTGAAAAGTGTTTTTCATCATAGAAAGTTTGAAGAAATATATCCTCCGGAAGTAGCAGAATTTGTGTACATTACAGATGACACCTATACCAAGAAACAAGTTCTGAGAATGGAGCATCTGGTTTTAAAAGTCCTTGCTTTTGACTTGGCGGCACCAACAGTAAATCAGTTTCTTACTCAGTACTTTCTGCATCAGGAGCCTGTAAACTGCAAAGTTGAAAGTCTAGCTATGGTAAGTTCCTTTCATGGTTGCTGGAGACTCTTTGGTCACAATTAAGGACAAGCCCTAATTTGGTTATCTAGTATTCCAGGTACTGATTAATGCCCCAGAGCTAAGAAAGCCTCACAATAAGGAAAGCACTAAAGCAGTGGTTCTCAACCTTCCTAATGTTGCGCGCGCGCCCCCCCACCACCACCATAAAATTTTTTTCATTGCTACTTCATAACTAATTTTGCTGTTTTGAACCCACTGGTTGAGAACCAAACTGCTCCACTAAAGAATAGATATATGTATCTTTGAGATGTTAAAGAGGGTTGTGAGAAGAGCTGTTTTAATGTTATTAAATACAGTCAAATAAAGGATAAAAATGAGAGAAGGCTTAAGTAAGGGGGTATCTTTATATGGTCGTTATAGAGCCAGTCTCAAGAGATGAGAAAAAAATTGGGCCTGAAGGTATATAAGTGTTGAAAGACTGAGTTCTGGAGCTTTTGTGGTCATTAGGGCATTCCCTTTTTTTAAAACTTTGTGAATTTATGTGGGGTTTTATGAACTTTTCATTTTTGAAGGGCATTTTTTTTTCATTCCAGTTTTTGGGAGAGTTGAGTTTGATAGATGCTGACCCATACCTAAAGTATTTGCCATCCGTTATTGCGGGAGCAGCCTTCCATATAGCACTCTACACGGTCACGGGACAAAGCTGGGTATGTAACTGTTTGCACACGTTCTACCTTGAGTGAACTCCCTGGGTGGTAGTAGTAGAAACACCCTTAGTTGCTAACCACAAGGTTGAAGATTTGAGTCCGAGAGGCATCCAGCAGAAATCTCTGGTGGTGCACTTCCAAAAACGTAGCCACTGAAACTGCGAAGCATTGCAGTTCTGACACACGTCGTCATGACGAGTTGAGTGCTAGATAAGTTATTGGCCTACAAACCCGATGGTTGTCTACATGTGCTGACCTGAAGTAACTTGACATGGTTTAAAGCATCTTTCATGTTGAATATTAATTACATCTTTCACTTGGTGTAACTTGGATTGGAAGTGTCCTTGTCAGAGCAAGAAATAGAGATCAAAGTCAGCGTCAAAAGAATGGCATAATGGTATGAGAAATGGAAAGATTAGTACTGAAATGTAACCCAAGGGTTTGAAGCAACCTAACTCATTCTGTTGTCTGCTATTAAAACATAACTCCCGCCTCTCGGCTCCTTCCTTCTTCTGTAGCCTGCGTCATTGGCACAGAAGACTGGATATACCCTGGAGAGCCTCAAGCCCTGTCTCACGGACCTTCACCAGACCTACCTCAAAGCACCGGAGCATGCACAGCAATCAATAAGAGAAAAGTATAAAGGTTCAAAGTAAGAACTGAGTAGCTACTAAGGGAACTTGTTTATCTTCTTAATCGTTAAGTTTTGGAAGTCCTTAACATGTAAAAAATGTAAAGGATAAAGTCTACCTTCGTTAAGATGTTCTCTAATGGGCCTTGTGTCCTGTATTGAGTGGGAGGAGTTTGAGCACATGCTTTGGAAATTCATAATCAGAAATTTGAGCTGCACGTTCATGATCTGTACTTTTTTCTCTCTTAGGTATCATGGTGTTTCTCTCCTCAGTCCACCAGAGACACTAAATGTGTAAACGTGAAGACTACCTTTGCTTTCTACAATGTAAATCCCTCAAAGTATATGGTGTACAGTTTTTATCATAGGTTTTAAATTCATAATCATTTCTGAATACAGAAATTGTGGTCAGTTACAAATTATGCTATCTTATTTTTAAATGGTTTTAATTTGTATCTTTTGTATATGTAACTGTCTTAGGTATTTGGCCAGTTTTTAATGGTATTAAAGTATTAACGATACCACCTATCAGGGTAAGAATAAATTGATTTGGAAAATGATGATTTGTAAGTCAAATTCAATTGGAGATTTTTAAATCTGTCAAAGATTTTTCTTGGGTTCCTGTACAGTGGGAATTGGTGAAGCGCCTTCAGGTTCTGACATCATTTTTCTATGCAATTATTTGACGAAGGCTGCTCACCTAATAGGTCAGTTACTGAAAAATAAGGTTATGAAGAGAAAAATGCTGAAATGACACAAACTCCACATGGTGGATGAAGTGAGGGGTGGAAAGCATCTGTGCTTGTTATGAACACGTTGTCCAGATGGCTTATATTTTTTAAACATTTAGATTTTCTTTTATAGATGTGAGTAAAAATAGCCAAAGTTGTTAGCATGGAATAAATATCCTTTTAATAGTATATATACAAGTAGGATGGCTTTAATCAACAGCTCTCTTCTTTTTCCTCTTTTTCGTTGGCCTTTTACTTGGCACTGCTGCTTGTTTTGTGCTGATGGTTTGTGTTCTGTGAAGAAGCAAAATAAATTAAGTTGACTAACAGTAAATACAAAAAGCTGATTTTTCAGGCCCGAGTACATGAAATACCAGCATCAGACCATTTTGCTGTTAAAATTTGATTATGTAAAAATAAAAGTAATACAGTAATTTTATAAGGCATCCAAATAATTTTATTATACAATTTAGGCCCTAATGCTTATAAATCTGACTTAGGAATAGCTGCATTTCTAATGATCCTTTTATAGATGAGGATATACATCTACATTAGTAAACCTCTAAAAGCTTATATAAAATGATTAAGAAATTAAAGCTTATTTACGTTTGAAAAATAAGGCAAAAATGTGTTACCTTACTTTCTTCATATACTTGTCTGGATCTAAAATGATCATTTCTTCCTCTTCACTGTCTGAGAGTACTATAGGAGCATCTGGAAAAATGAAAGTCATTTTGAAAAATAATATAGTCTTCCCCCTTTTCTCCCAAAGATACTTGACAAATAAACGACCTGACACCTCATGATAGAAAAGAAAGGAGGGAAATACGTGGTGTCTTCTGTAAAACCAACTTGTGACAAGTTAAACTGCTAGTGCTAATAAATATACATTCTCTTCAGCATTCAACACTAGAAGGAAAAGTCCCAGAGGCTTAACTGTTTTTGCCAAAATGTACTAGAAATGTTCTTAAGCATACTCAAGTTGTATATGAAAAATCTATTTCTCATATGCCCTAGCTGTAGGAAATGCGAGCCTTTTGCTTTGGTTTATTACCGCCCAAGACTGACTGCAAAGGATTACTGCTATTTTCTATCTTTATCAATTATTTTCCTATTTTTACTTTCTTCACTTCCATTCTTTAAAAAAGTCAATACTATTCCCTTGGATCCACCTTCCTTATTCACTTGGAAACACTACTATTCAAAGCAGGTCTAACTTAAGAGGCACAAACATGGAAAGACATACTCAAAAATGGAATCTATGGACTGAGAGCAACTTCTCCAATTCAGTGTGCTTAATCAAGTACATGAAATAAAAGTCTAGGAAAATACTATTAGAAGTGATCACTAGAAATAAGGAATTAACAACCGAAAAGTGGATGAAAGGAGACGTCGGACAGGGCAAGATATGACAAAATACCCATTTATAAACCATCAAGGGCTCATGTGGGAGGGGGGAGGGAGGGGAAAAATGAGGACCTAATGTCGGGGGTTTAAATGGAGAGAAAATGTTTTGAGAAACGATGTACAAATGTGCTTTACACAATTGACGTGTGTATGGATTGTGATAACAGTTGTATGAGCCCCTAATAAAATGTTTAAAAAAAAAAAAAAAAGGAATTAAGGATTGTTCTGGAGATAACCAGGCAGGTATATGCATTATGTGTCTGAATATCACCATTGTTTGCTCAACAAGCGCATCTTTTAGTCTGCTAGGCTAGTTCGTAAATTCTCGTGTGACTTGTTTTTGCCACATAAAAAAGGCAATTCATATAATGCACAAAATATCCATAAGTGCCAAACCAAATCCATGGATCAAGTCAGAGTCTAAGTACACCAAAGGGGTGCTGAGACGTCTGTATTGGAGCAGACAGCCTAACTGCTCCTACAGACAGCTAGTGAGCTCAAATTGCCTATGCTCAGGCCACTGCCACGAATCCTTCCAGTTTCACAGCTGTCAAATACATGAAATGTCTAGAATTAGCAAAATCCCAGCTGTTCTTTAATACTGCGTACAGTCTAATATGGTAGTTACATGTGACTATTTTAAAAGTAAATTTAAAATTCACCTTGGTTTGATGTAATTAATAAAGCCCTTGTAGACAACAATCCCTTATGTAATGTGTTATAAATTCTAGCCTCTATGCCTGTGGCTAATCCCATTTTGGAAGGAGTTCTAGATTGTGAATCAAATCACCCACCCTCATGTCAGTATGGTCTGCTGAAAGGACACTCTACTTCTAGCAAAGCCATGTAAGAGCCATCTAAGAAACAGGCTCAGCGATCCCAGCACCATGGGAAGAGCCACCAGGAGAGCACATTTGAGATCTCTAACCCAAGTGGTAGAGGCCATGATGTACACAGAAGACGGCAGAGCGGAGGCGCTTAGACCAGAAGCCAAGGCAAGGAGACCCAGTGACAGAGCTTCCTGGCCCTTGGAGGCAAAGGCTTGGGGACTACATGGCTGACAGGATGAGGACTGAAGACTACTGGCTGAGGAAAGGTGATGCTCTGGACCAGTGACGGTATCATTACTGATCCTGATTTATGGTAACCTGTTAACTTCCCTAATAATAGTAAACCTTAATTATGAGTATTGTCTGTGAGTTCTTTGTGGCCATCACAACACATTATGGACCCCAGCAGGAAACGGTCACAGGAGGAACAGTTGGTGACATGTCTGACCTGTATCTCACGGCAGCGGGGAAGCCAGAGGACAGGATGGCCTCCATGCTCTTTCACATGCAGACTAAGTCACATGTGCCTAGTAGCTGCTATAGTAGACCGGACAGAGAACTTTTTATGTTCTCTACTGGACAGCACTTTCTCGTGGTATGAGCTTACTTTGGAATCTCGGAATACTCATCAGACTACAGGGATGTTCTCTCAATGAAACCGGTTCCTTTAAAACTGGCCCTTTTAAAGGTATAAAACAAAAAAATAGAAAATGGCACCATCCTTTATATCCCAAAGTATACCATATCACTACCGAAAGAAACTAAAAGAATTGGAGTTAATGCAGTAAGCCTCTCCACAGAGTCGTTGAAATTGCAAATATCACAAATATTTACCTTCTCCAAAAAAGATCCATCTACTTATGGAAGATTCATAAAATATTACCAACCTTGGTTCCCATGATTGGAGATTTCTATTCCGGTGTCCATTTTCAAACCATCAAGCACGGCAGCTTCATCGCTGTCGCCGTCCTCATCTTCCTTTTCGGAGTCGCCAAGATCACCCCAGGAGTTTTCTATGCCCTCTCCCACTTGGGCAGTTCCCGGAGTGCGTAACACTGGATTACAAACACTTAGCAAGTTAAGAAGACAAAACACAAATGCAGCAATTTGATGCACTGTTGAAAGTTAAAAACAGAATTTCTGAGTTACGATTGATTCAAGTGTGCTTGAATGCCTAGGATAAATTTTTACTAAGTTTTACTATGAACGTAGGCAGTTTTGTTGGGTTAGGTGTTGGGCTACTGGCTGCAAGGTCGAAGGTTTAAACTGGCTAACCACACTGCTCCTGTAAAGATTTTAAGTCTCAGAAACCCTGCAGTGGTTCTCAACCTTCTTAATGCCGCGAGTGACCCTTTTAATGTAGTTCCTCATGTGGTGACCCCCAACCATAAAATTATTTTCATTGCTACTTCATAACTGTAATTTTGCTACTGTTATGAATCATGTAAATATCTGATATTCAGGATGTATTAGGCGACCCCTGTGAAAGGGTCGTTCAACCCCCACAGGGGTTGCAACCCAGTTTGTGAACTGCTTTCTGGGATCCCTATAAATCAGAATTGACTTGACGGCAATGGGTATACATGATAGAGCTGAAAGTAAAACCTGTAACTCAGGCAAGTTTATAGACACAATGGTAAGTGTTGATAGAATAGCTCTTAATATTTTAGTTGTAAATTAGGTGAATGGATGAATAAAGAACATACAGAACAATGCCTAACAGTGTATAGTGTTCATGCCATCAATATTACACTATTTTCCAAAGGTCAATGAAATGCTGTAACTTGTTTCTTACACAGTTTTCTGATCTAGCTGGATATATGAGGGCATATTCAAAAAACCCCGGAATTTTCCTTTTTTCAAAGTTATATATTCAAATTTTTAAACAAAACAACCTTATCACCTTCAAAGTACTCTCCATTACACTTAATACATTTGTAAAATCTGCGATTCCCCACTCTTGGAGACATTTTTCAAACTCATCTGTTTGGATTTTTTTCTTCATCTCTTCTACATTGACAAATCAGTCTTTTCATGTTCCTCTTCATTTGCAGAAACAAAAAAGTTGCACGGAGCAAGGTCAGGTGAGTAAAGTGTGTGGGGCAAGAGAGATGCTGTTTATTTGCCAAAAACGGCACTGAGATGGCTGCCTAAGCAGGTACATTGTTGTGGCAAAAGCAGTTACCCATCTGCTACAAATCAGGTCTATTTGTCACACTGTTAACACAATCTTTTCAGAACCTCTAAATAGAAAGCTTGAGTAACAGTGTGACCTGGTGGAACGAACTCCAAACGCATTTTACCCTCTCACATCAAAAAACAATTGAGCATCGTCTTGATCTTTGATCACACTTGACGAGCTTTTTTTAGGCAAAGTGATTGGTGTCTTCCACTGGCTTGACTGATGTTTGCTTTCAGGGTCTTAAGAGCATCATGTCTCATCACCTGGGGAAAAAAGTCTGGGTTGCTTCAGAGCTGTTCTTTCAAAGCACAGCATGTTTACACTCCATGCTCTTTCCTGGTCAGTCAGAACCCACGGCACAAATTTCGCAGCAACCCTTCTCATTCCCAAGTCCTTCCATTAAAATTTGCTGAACTGAGCCCAGAGGTAGTCCAGAGAACTTCCCCATCTCTTCAATGGTCCATATCAGAATTTGAGCACAAGTGCATGAATTTTGTGGACATTCTAGACTGTTTGGGAAGTTGACGGCTCTCCAGAGGTTTGTCATCCATTGACATTTCAACTTTTTTGAAATGAGAAAATTTCTCGTACACTTGGGCTTTCCCATAGTGCTGTCCTTGTAAGCTGTGTTCAACATCACAACAGTTTCTGCAGCAATTTCCAGGGCAGGAAAAAAAATTTCACAGCCGTACCGTCTTTTAAATCAGCTATCACAAAAAACAAGGTTCAAGTGAAATTGCTCTTACAAAAAAATTCACTGTGACCAAAGAGAACTATCCCATGTGATGGCACTGGGTGCACTAACTGAGAGTGAGTTGCTCAATGCTCGCCTAGTGGGAAAAATGTATACGAAAACCCTGCCTTTTCCGGGGTTTTTTTTTTTTTGTATCCCTCATATGACAAATCACTATCTTGTCTTACATCTTTACTGTTCTTAATTACCTAACAAAGAGTAAGGCAGTCTTTGAAAAAACAAATTTCACTATGCACAACCTTAAGTGTATTCAGTCTTAAGCCTAAGTGCTAAAAGTGTTCTTTTAAAGTCTTTGTTTCTTTTGCCAAAACCACCCAAATAAAGATACACTTCTGAAGGTGGTTCAGCTTCAGCAATGATTTCTTCTGCTTTCTCCCCAACATCAGATGTGTCGATGGGGGCCTTTTCCATTTTAAATGCTGTGATTCTCTGATTTGCTATAGACTCTGCAAAACCACACTTTCCACCTTCTTTCCTGTATGCGGGTTATTTGAGGAAGTGGAGGGTGGGGAGGGATGGAGGAGACAGGTAAGAGAAGAAAAAAAGAAAAAAGTTATTTTATCCTTTGAATGAGAAATACAATTTGTTGACCCTGGCTGATGCTGGGTGATTAACAACCTTTCTTAAGAGAAGCGGATACTGCTATGTTGGACTATGGTGACATAGTGGTTATGCACTCTACTGCTAATAGCAAGGTCAGCAGTTTGAAACCACCAGTGGATCTTCGGGAGAAAGAACAGGCTTTCTACTCCTATAAAGAGTTAGTTTCAGAAACTCACAGGCCATCTACCCTGTCCTAAAGGGTCCCTATGAGTTAGCATCAACCCACTGGTAGTAAGTAATAGGGTTAGGGTTACAAAATAAAAAAGTGAGGATCAACTTTAATTTCTTGCTATTTCCATTCATTCGAGTCACTGATTCTTCTAAGAAAAATGTCAATTTTGAAAGAAAAATCATACTTGACGTTTCAATAGAGGTCATGTTTAAATTGAAATAAAATATAAAGAACAGCCTTCAATAGACATTCAAAACAAACACCAAGTAAAGCAGTATATTCACCTGAGATTAAAAAAGAAAAGATCAAGTGTAAAAAATTAAGTCCCCCCACATCCTAGCCCACCAAGCCCTGAGGATGACATTCCAGCTCGGAGAAGCCAAGGAAAAGAGAACCGCAGGGCTGGGCCCCACCATGAGACATGACACCCCCTCACTGACCCACAGTGCTGCAGGGGACAGCACTGGAGACAGTGTGGGAATTGTGCCCAGCCTGGACCCCCCCCCCCCTCACCTCCCTCACCCCATAGCAAGGCGATACACGAAGGAAGCTCAACAGAGCAGCAAGGGGAGCAAAGCACCAAAGCCCCTGAGGAACCCTGATAATAGACTTCAGACTTGAGGGCAGGGCTTGGCACCTCATCAGACTCGATCAGAAAACATACTTAAGGGTCAACAGACCTGGAACTATTTATAGGCCTCCTTATTTTTCTTCCTTTTTTTCATGTCTATATAAGATAGGCAAGATAAACCCAAAGAGAAAACAATGGGACCAAGAGTTCCAGGGGACAAGGGGAGAGGGGGGCAGGAGACGGGAAAGGAAGTGGGGAGCCAACAAAACCAGGAACAAGGGAACAACGAGAGCTAAAACTGATGGCAAGGAGGGTGTAGAACACCTGGTAGGGTTTGATTAAGTGCAATTCAGCCAAGAGGAATTACTGAGAGCTGAATGAAGGTCAAACATAATAGTGGAGCAGGAGGAAAGTAAAAGAAAATAGAGGAAAGAACTAGGAGGCAAAGGACATTTATAGAGGCATAAATATAGGCATGTATGTATGCAACTATTTCAATATATAATACTAGGTACATAGGTCTATATACATATATTTATATGTTAAGTATCAAGGTAGCAGATGGACATTGGGCCTTTACTAAAGTCCTCCCTCAATGCAAGAACACTTTGTTCTAATAACCTGGCATTCAGTGATGCTCATCTTCCCAACACAATCACTGAAGTCAAAATGGATGCATAAAGAAATGTGAAGAAAGCTGATGGTGCCCGGCTATTAGAAGATATAGTGTCTGGGGTCTTAAAGGCTTGAAGGTAAACAGATGGCTATCTAGCAGGGAAGCAACAAAGACCACATGGAACAAGCACACCAGCCTGTGTGATCATGAGTTGCTGAAGGGAGCAGGTTATCAGGCCCCTGAAGACCCCAAACAAAAAAATCCTATCGTGAACAAGAGTGGGGGGAGAATGGAGATGCAAAGCCCATCTGTAAACAACTGAACATCCCCTCATCATAGAAAGGTCACAAGGGATGAATGAGCCAGGCAGGGTGCAGTTCAGCACCGATGAAACATATAACATTCCTCTAGCTCTTTAATGCTTCCTTCCCCCAGCCCCTCCCCCCTTTCATAACTCTAGTTCTACCTTACAAATCCAGCTAGACTGGATCTTGTACACTGGTACAGATAAGAGCTCTTGACACACGGATTCCAGGAAAAATAAACCCCTAAGGAACAATAATGGGAGTAACAATATGAGGGTAGGGGAGAAGGGAGAGAAAAGGGGAACAGATCACAATGATCAATGTATTAAACTCCCCATGCCCACCTGAGGGGGATGAAGATCAGAAATGGTGCAGGGAGATGGCAGACAGTGTAGCGTAAGATATGAAAATAATTTATATTTTATCAAGGGGTCACAAGGGTAGGAGGGAGGGAAAAAAGAAGAGCTGATACCAAGGGTTCAAGTATAAAGAAAATGTTTTGGAAATGATGGAAACACATGTACAAATGTACTTGATACAATTATCTATGGATTGTTATAAGAGCTGTAAGAGCCCCCAATACAATGATTAAAAAAAAAATTCTGGTTCCCTTTGTGAAACACCCTTCACAGAAAATAAAAAACAAAACACATACCTCACTTTCCGATCATTCTCCAAAGCTTTCTGTATTAGTTCTGTGATTTCTGCTACTTTCACACCAGCTATTTTAGTACATCTTAAAACCTATAAAAGTAAACTATTATTTTAATACAATCAAATAGCTTCCTATGAGCACAGAAAAATTAAGACTTTCTGATCTAAGAGGTTCACTTCTCTAACTTTATATTTAAACTTGACTCAACTAGTATGAAAATAATATAAAGTCAACACCCATTATGGCAAGATGTGAGATGTTTTATAAAACCAAGTGATCACCAGACCTTGAGGACCCACTACAACAATCTATGGATGGAGGGACTTGGGTACTGGTTGTAATGCTGGTAGTTATTACAACGATGATCGCAACTAACATTCCTTGAACAGTTCATATATGTTGGATACTATGATATATCTATATCAATGTATTTACCCTTATATGTTTCTAACAACCGTAAGTGAAGACAATAGCATCATTATTTATAGATGAAAGAACTGAAGCCCGACGACATTAAAGCATTCACCCATGTGTAGCTGCTCCCAGGCAGAGCTGGACTGTGAATTAAAGCAGCCTGTGCTCTTAGCCACTACCCGGTATGCCATATGCAATCTATTTTGGGGACTCCATATTAATCTGATATGCAGCTGGCTTTGGGAATGACTGTTTGCTCTACCCAAACTCTAAGAAACTATCCAATTTCTATTTTTGACTCTTCTTTGTTGGGAGGAACATAAATCTCTTGATTTGGATAAAAAAGGTGCATACTCTGAGGGTCAGATATGAGGCAAGGGAGAAAGGAAGGCTCCCTCTCCAAACAGAAAGCACCCGCACTGAAACCAGATTCTAACAGCCCTGCAAGCATTCTTTATGAATTTTGGTCAAAAGATAAGTAAAAGGTTTTAAAGAGCACTAACTTGATCTTTTAGTAGCATTATGCCACCGCTGGACTGGATGGTACAAATCTCCCGATGCTTGTTCATGGCAATCACCAACAGCCCATCCATTACACGTTCTTCACGTTCATTGGGATCCACCAGTAAATATGTTCTGAAATGAACATAGGAGCTTGAGCAAACCTGGAAGACTGAATGGCTGTCACTTTCAAGAAAATGGATGTTTTATAAAATATGGCACACGTAGTTAACAGTTAAGGGATTTAATTATGAATTTACTTCTTTACGATATAATAAGAAAATTACTGTTTCTACCAACACAAAATGAATGGCGAGTGATTTTCTCCAGCTATTACAAAGAAATCACAATTGAGTCCATGTTGGTTTTGTTAATATTATTTTTGTATTGTCCAATACATTAACCATTAGTAGCTTTTGCTTACTGAGATCTTGAAATAGGCTAGTTCATATTGAGAAATACTATCAGATAGAGGCTGAATTTCAAAAAGGCTTAGTTGTGGGAAACTGAGGACCTAGCAGTGAATGTATGTGGCTTAATCTCTACTCTTGCTACCACTGAGCATAAAAGACTGGCTCTAGTTAGAGAGAGATCTCAACGGTTATTTATCTCATTATAGATAATGTCAAATATACATTTTCCAGAGAGAGAAAGATGTCCCTACAGCTTCCCTCCCTAAAGTGCTACTTTAAAGATGCCTCTTACAAGCGCCTGGCTATGTGGCTGGAGGGAACCTGAGAGCAAACAAGTTCCACTGTAGTCGACTCCCTTCTGCTGCTGATCATGGGCGGTCTATGTACCTGATGGAGGCTTGCTAGCCTAACTGTATATACCTGTTTGAAGATACACTTTCTTTCTCTTGATCCTAACATCGGGAAAGGTGAGCTCCTGTCCCCGCTCTTTCTCTTTATTTCCCCCTATTGCACTGCTGCTCCTACGGACCTGTTTGGTTATGGGGCCGGACCACACACTTGGTGCAAACAAAAGAATGTAAAATATCTCATGAATATTAAAATATATAACATTAACATGATTACTATTTTAGACCCATTCAAATGCAAACACATTGCCATCAAGTCAATTTAAAGTCATGGCAGACCAAGAGAAGAGGGTGGAGCTGCCCATGTGGGTTTCCTAGACTAAATCTTAATGGGAGTAGAAAGCCTCATCTTTCTCCTGTGCAGTGGCTAGTGGCTTTGAACTATGGACCTTGTAGTTAAAAGTACAAGTACACATGGCTAATAAATCAGAATTAATTTCACCTTTTTCTTTTCTAAAGTGACTACAGAAAATTCCCAACACTTGTCTGTCAGTTTGTCATACTGTGGTGGCTTGTGTGTTGCTGAAAGTTTCCACTGAAAATGAACAGGTTTCAGCAGAGCTTTGACTAAGAACAACGAAGGAGGACTCAGCTGCCCACTTTGGAGGACGATGGGGCTGAGAACCATACGCACAGCTTCCATGCACTGTCAAATATTGACAGCCTAAACAAAGGAACCAGAAGAGAAATACTGCCAGCCGATGGGCACTCAAGTGGGACTGAAGAGGAGCTGATTTCTTGGAGGGGGTCGAGTGTGGTGGTGTGAGCAGTGGGGAGCCTGTGGGAGTGGAACCTTCCAGATCTTCATTTGTTGATGAGGCACGACGCAGAGTGAGGCAAAATAGTTGCAAAAAATCATCACATGATCAGAACTTGGAATGTGCAAAGTATGAATTTAGGAAAACTGGAAGTGGTCATAAATGAAACAGAATGTGAAGATCGATAATTAGGCATTGGTGTGCTGAAATGGATGGATAGTGGCCATTTTGACTCTGAAAATCTTATGATTTACTATGCCCGGAAGAACACAACCAAGCCACTGGAGATGCCCTTGCAGAGGGGTCTCAGGGAGAAGACGAGCCAATCAGGGTGCAATG